CAAAAATTATATCACTAATTATTGTGTTTAACTGGGGGTGGGCATACCGGCTGGGTTTGAAATATTTACAAGCAGTTCCCGACTTGCATTCATTTAGCGACTGTTCAAAGTTACAACGGCACTGAAAAAAAGGGACTTAGGGCTGGTCCTCGCATTTATGACCGCCATAGCATCCCGATGGTCCTGCATTCACTTAACAACTGCGGGGATTTTCTCAACCATCATGGTTGAAAAAAGGTCATAAAATGCGACCCACGTAACCCTTGCGTAGCAGTGGTGGCCCGCCGTATGTTGAGAACTGCCTGCATTCTTCCCCTGTGGAATCCAAGCCCCATCATCCCCCAGTGGGAGTGGCAGGGGAGGGTGGGATTTGTAATCCCAGGAGGCCAAGTTGGGAAAAGCTGCTCCCCTTTAGTGGGAGCCCTTCCTTCCCCCCCCCCTTCCTTCCGTACCCAGGGAAGGAGGGGCTGCTTTTGCAGAGGGTGAGGCTGACGCTGGCAGGTGGGGGCCGAGTCCCAGGTTGCCATGGGGAAGAAGCAAACAGCCCCACTTGGAAAAACAGAACTCCTGTCCTGGCAGGTAAGGCAGAAGCTCCGGTTTTCCTTATAAGGATGCGGCGTCTCTTCCTCCTCTCCCCTTTTGTCTACACGATCAATATCCTTGCGTCATCTCCACCCCCCTCCTGGGAGTGGTACGCAAGGAGGAGGGGGCTGGGAGCCAAGGGGGAGGGAGTGGGTCATTCCAGCATGGCAGGACGGGGGCTCTGCCGCCTGGGATCCAGGACTGGCCCGTTCAATCCCCTGGGGGGAGACAGAAGGGTTCCTTGAAGTGGGGCTGGTGAACTCAGTTCTGGCTCCGAAAGAAGAATGTTTTTTGGGGGGGAAGCTTCTCTGCCATCCCGTTGCTTCTGCTGGGAGCCTCACAGTCTGAGGGAAGGGCGCTATCAGCCATCGGAAACCTCCCCTCTCGGAACCGGTTGGCAGGCTGGCTGGTGGCCTTGGGGGGGCTGTAGACCTGAGTGGTTAGACAACAGACGGTGCCTTCTCAAGGGGGGTGGTGACGGCTTCCCACTACCTGTGACTCTCCCCAGGCTGAACCACGGCTCCCTGCACCCCTAACACTCCCCCCCACCATTGTGGACTCCGTCCTTCGTGGGGGTGAACCTCCAGCTCTGGAAGATGCTGTGATGACCTCAAACACCTTGTGACCTCCTGGTGCCAACAAAGCCAACACCTCTGCTTGAGTTCAAGTCTTTCTCTCTTGGCCTCCCTGGGCCTGGAGAACCTTCTGGTTCTTAATGCTGATGGAGAAATGCCTGCAGTGGGCAGAACTGGGCCACTGCCCTGTCTTGGCTTTGAAAGTAGCGGGCGGGTATGATCCTGACTCACCCGAAGGCTGGGAGATGGGTGGGCAGTTATGCCAAGGCTCCTTTCTCCAGAACCTGGCGGGCGTTTGAGGACAGCCCTGCGCAGTTGGCTAACCCAGCGGGCCAATTAAAAAGTCTGCTTGGCGCTTTCTCATCCTACGTTCGGAACGGTAATAATCAGAATTATTAAGCTGTCAAACCTTTGAGAAGTTTCTCCACCCAGCACGGTCCAGGTGTGCTGGACTGCAAATGCTCAGCTGCCAATTAGCCTCCTTTGTTTCTAAATGTTTATACCAAAACGTCTCAATCTTAGCAGCTTTTAAGCCTGTGGACTTCAGCTTCCCCAGAATCCCCCATGGCTGGCTGGGGAATTCTGGGAGTTGAAGTCCACATGTGTTAAAAGTGAGCAAGGTTGAGAAAGACTGGCTTATACTTTCTTTGGTCTTCCAGAAAAGCTTATAGCCAGACCAGTGTTTCTCAACCTTGACAACTTGAAGATGTCCGGACTTCAACTCCCAGAATTCCCCAGCAGTGGTTAGGACAGTGTTTTTCAACCTTGGCAACTTGAAGATGTCCGGACTTCAACTCCCAGAATTCCCCAGCAGTGGTTAGGACAGTGTTTTTCAACCTTGGCAACTTGAAGATGTCCGGACTTCAACTCCCAGAATTCCCCAGCAGTGGTTAG